GCCAGAATGTGGGAGAAATGAAGAAGACTATGAGGCTGGAGATCAGGGAATGTGGGGTTGGATCGGGGCCGGGGAATGCGGAGCCAGTGCTCTGGTGATGCTGGGCCAGTGTACCTGAAGCCTCCGGCGCCGGATGATGCCGGAATCGTCCATGGCGGCGGCGGCAGCAGTAGCAACGGCAGCGGCGGCGGCGGGAGAGGGAGCGGCTGCTCTCCGGCCCCCTGTGAGGGAGGGAGTGGGGGGGGAGGAGCCGCGGCGGCAGGAGAAGGTGGGGGGCGGGGGCGGAGCCTTGAGGGGCGGCCTGAACAGCCACTGCGTCTGGAAGCTGTAGCCGCAGCCACGGCCACCACAAGAGACACCTCAACCTAAACAGACACGGTCCCCTCACAAAGACATGACTTCCTAGCCACAGAAAAAGAAATCCCCTGACAAAGGTCTGAAAGACGTCTTCACAGAGACTTCTCCTATGGAGAAACCCTCTCTCTCTCCCTACAGTGGCATCATCCCCCACCACCACCAAAAGAAAAAAGAATACCCTCTTTCAAAAACAGGGACTCCCTTACCCTTAGGGACACCCACCCCACCCCCACCCAGGGGATTAGCGTGAGCTGGGCGTAGCCCAGGCCAGGACCAGCACAGAGCAGGATTTATAGGTCATATTAGGATTCAGCTAGGGGAGATGGACGGGAGAGTAAATAGCCTCCGAAATATAAAGAGACAGACAGACAGACAGACAGAGAAACCCATCTCAAGAGTTAGTCCGTCCATCCCCTTGCCTGTAGTACTCCTGTTGTTTCTCCTGGTGCATATCAGAGGGTCTTTTCCCTGTGCTCTTTCCCCACATACTTAGGAAGTCCTTTCCACAGCCCAGACACCTTTGGGCAGGTCTTGGTTCAGAAGTGAAGGCGGGCAAAGGCCCAAGTCCTTCTTGCTGGGGTGGACAGGATGGCCTCACCTTCTTCCTCCCTCTCTTCCCTCCCCACTGGATTTCCCTTACTTCCATTTTTAGGAGCCCAGCTTTTTGTTCTCAGCTAATGGAGTCTCAGGACCAGAGCCAACAAGCCAACAAGATGAACTAGTGTGAAGACTGGACTCTCTGGGACCCTGAAGAGAGGACCAAGAAAGGAGCTGAGCTGGTCTCAGGAATTGTCTTCCATTCGACCAACACAAGGACAGGTCCCCGGGGGAAGTGAGTGACATTCCTGACCCTAGAAGCTGGAACTGTCAGAGACTGGGGTCACCTTGTACACCAACGCCACCTGCCGACCAGTCCTGAGGCTACCGCGGGGGTCTGGAAGGGATTGAAGGAAGTGTCTCTATCTCGGTCTCCTCCGTCCTTCTGTCTGTCTCTCTGAGTCTCTCCCTATTCCTCTGAATCTCTTAGTACCAACAAGTAGGTGCCTCATTATCTCACTCTATGTCTCCCTCTGCATCTTTCCCTCTGTCTGACTCTCCTACTGTGTCTGTGCCACCGCCTTTCCCTCACTCTTCCTTCCTTTGGTGTTTGTGTATTTATCTCTCTCTCCCTGTATCTTTGTTTCTGTCGGTCTAGCTCTCTCCTAGGTCTTGTCGCTCTCCGCGGTGCTGATCTCACCCAGTTCCATTCACCTCAGAACTAGGAAATCAGATTTCTCAGCTAAAGTTGTGTGTGGAGCTGGTGTGAAACAGCGATTCTACTGCCAGAGCTCGAGAGAGTCTAGGCACCTGGATCCTCCTCCTCCTGGTCTGATGAAGGGGGCAGAGGGTGTCTCTTGGACACCCTGTTTAGAGCAGTTACTCTTCTGTTACCTCATCCCTCACTCATCTGAGAGCTCTCAGATGCTCTCTGCTCCTGCCTCCAGCTCCTCCCTCACTTCCCCAACTTGGGGATAACAGAATAGCTTGACAGGAGAATGTATAGGACTGAAAGGCAGAAGTGCAGACTCCTGCCTCCATGATGCTCCCTGTAGCCCCCAACACACAGAACACATAAGAAACTGTCATAAATATCTATTACACAGATATACACTCAGTTACACCCCCTCCACAATACACTACAGTAAGCTCTTGCAGACACTGACATTCACGTACAGCAACTTAGGAGACACTTTTCCCATTTCCCTCCCCTGTCTTCACTAATAATGACAAAGACTCAGGTCTGGCCCACATCCTGTCCCCTACAGAGAGAGAGAGAGAGAGAGAGAGAGAGAGAGAGAGAGAGAGAGAGA